TCTTAAAATCAGTTTCTGTACTCCTCCCCGACGAGGGGATTAGCACTGAAATCGACATCGCCGGGTCGAATTTGGGGTAGTGTGGACGCAATTCGACGGCATTGGCCTCCAGGAGCTATCCCAAAGTGCTCCATTGAGACCGCTCTGGACAGCACTCTCAACTCAGATACACTGGCCAGGTAGACAGGAAAAGCCCCGGGAACTTTTGAATTTCATTTCCTGTTTGGCCAGCGTGGCAAGCTGATCAGCACAAGTGACTATGGAGTCCCAGAATTGCAAAAGAGCTCCAGCATGGAGGTACTGGATGGGAAGTACTGGATCTGATCGCTGTATGGGGAGAAGAATCCTCGCAGCAGGCAAGCACACAGCAGGCAAGCGGAGAATCCCTTCTCCCCAGCAGCCAGGAACTGTTCATCACCCTGGAGCTAATACCCTCCCAACCCTGCCAAAGCGGGCTCCCGGACCATGAAGCCGGAGAAGGCACCTCTGGTGAGTGTACCTTTGTAAATATAATACAGGGTTTAAAAGCAAGCATGTTTAATGTTTAATTTTCCCTGAAGGCTTGGGATGCATTCGTGGCCAGTATAGCTACTGGAAAAGTCTGTTAACGTGTCTGGGGATGGAGTGGAAATCCTCCAGGGACATCTCCATGAAGCTCTCGTGGAGGTACTCTGAAAGGCTTTGCCATGTGGTGGGTGGAGGCCCGTTCATGCTGAGCTGTTCGCGTTTGGCTGAGAGGGATCTTCCCTGATACTAGCCACGCAGTGGGGGCGGGGGACGGGTGAAGCACATGTGCTATATAATGTGAATCGCTTGATTCAGTGTGAAATAGTCTTCCCTTTGTTCTCTAAAATGTATCTTTTTAAATACTATTCTCCCTTTTTTTCCTCCCGCAGCTGCAAATGTTTCTACGCTCCCCCTATCATCTCCGTCCCAGAGGCTAATGAGCCTAATGTGGGAGCAAACCGACATGCTCAGGCATCTGGTGGAGCTGCAGGAAAGGCAGCAGGAGCACAGACCGCCGCTGCAGCCCCTGTATAACCGCCTGCCCTCCTCCCCAAGTTCCATATCCTCCTCACCCAGACGCCCAAGAACACGGGGGAGGGAGGCTATGGGCACCCAGCCACTCCACCCCAGAGGATTGCCCAAGCAACAGAAGGCTGGCATTCAATAAGTTTTGAACTGTAGTGTGGCATTGTCCTCCCCTCATCCATCACCCCACCCAGTGCTTCCCTCCTCACCCGCCCCTCCCAGGCTACCTTGCGAGTTTTCTCCCTATTTGTGTGATGAATTAATAAAGAATGCATGATTTTGAAACAATAATGACTTTATTGCCTCTGAAAGCGGTGATCGAAGGGGGGAGGTTGGTTGGCTTACAGGGAAGTACAGTCAACCAAGGGGGCGGGTTTTCATCAAGGAGAAACAAACAGAACTATCACCCCGTAATTGGCCGCCAGGCGATTTGCCTCAACCTTCCACCCTGCCATAAACGTCTTCCCCTTACTCTCACAGATATTATGGAGCACACAGCAAGCAGCAATAACAATGTGAATATTGGTTTCGCTGTGGTCTAACCTAGTCAGTAAACTGCGCCAGCGAGCTTTTAAACGTCCAAATGCACATTCTACCACCATTCTGCACTTGCTCAGCCTATAGTTGAACTGCTCCTTACTACTGTCCAGGGTGCCTGTGTATGGCTTCATGAGCCATGGCATTAAGGGGTAGGCTGGGTCCCCAAGGATAACTATAGGCATTTCAACATCCCCAACGGTAATTCAACTGTGAGGGCTGCTCTCATCTTGGTATTCTGGTGCTTCAGGGCAGGGGAAAGCAAGTCACAAAGTTCCATGAAAGTGCCCTTACGCATGCAAAAGTTTTGCAGCCACTGGGAGTCATCCCAGACCTGCAACACTATGCGGTCCCACCAGTCTGTGCTTGTTTCCCGGGCCCAGAATCGGCGTTCCATGGCATGAACCTGCCCCATTACCACCATGATGTCCAAATTGCTAGGCTTTGAGAGAAGTCCGTATCCATGTCCTCATCACTATCGTGATCACGCTGTCATCCCCTCCTCACCTGATTTTGCAGGCTCTGCACATACTGCAGGATAATGCGTGAGGTGTTTACAACACTCACAACAGCAGCGGTGAGCTGAGCGGGCTCCATGCTTGCTGTGGTATGGCGTCTGCAGGAGAGCAGAAGAGCAGAGTTGCAGCGGAAGCGGTGGATGACGACAGTTAGCATAGCGCACATTTCCTGATGAAGAACATACGTTCCCGGGAGCCCATGACAGACAACCTAGAGAAATTCACTATCAAGACAAGAGTAGGAGAGCAGAGTTGCCGCGGAAGTGGTGGATGACGACGGGATGCCACGAGAATAGATATTTATAAAGAATGACGAGAGAACCTGTGAGGTGGATTCATGGCACCAGGAGAGCAGGAGAGCAGAGTTGCAGCGAAAGCAGTGGTTGGATGATGACGTTAGCAGTCCTACTGCACCGTCTGCTGAAAGCAGTATGGCGCTGACACGGAAAAAAGGTGCAAAACGATTGTCTGCCATTGCTTTCACAGAGGGAGGGGCAACTGACGACATGTACCCAAAACCACCCGCGACAATGTTTTTGCCCCATCAGGCATTGGGAGCTCAACCCAGAATTCCAATGGGCAGCGGAAACTGTGGGAACTGTAGGATAGCTACCCGCAGTGCAACGCTCCGAAAATCGACGCTAGCCATGGTACTGTGGACACACACCACCGACTTAATACGCTTAGTAGGACACACACAATCAACTGTATAAAATCGCTTCCTAAAAATCGACTTCTATAAATTCGACCTAATTTCGTAGTGTAGACATACCCATAGTCTTCAGACCCTCAGGGGTCCACGGACCATAGATTGAAAACCACTGGCCTAGGGTGTAGCAAAGGGCAGAATTTGGCCTAGGGAGGTCACATAGCAAGTCACTGGCACAGCTGAAGTTTAAATGCAGGGGTTCTTGGCTCCCAGATCTGTGAGCAGTAAATTGGAGCGCATGGCCTCTCAGACAAAGTATGATGCTACCTTCAGTGCAAAGCAGCAGAGAATTTTAAAGTACAAGGGAGTAAAGTAATTGTTAGTCATCAGATTTTATGCTGATCAGAGATGGAGCAAACCCACTGCAACACTACCCAGCATGAGAAGACTGAAGTGAAAAATTATTTTGCTGCTTTCGATTGCAATTTTATGACCATTGGTTAGACATTTATTTAATATGAAGTGAGCACATCTAACAATATAAGTGTAGTGTGGTCTAGTGACTTGGCCAGTGGTCTGGGCATCAGGAGACTTGGGTTTGATTCCTGGTTCTGGTACTGATTTCCTCTGTGACCTTGGGCAAATTGCTTCCTCCCATCCTTTGCCTCTTTAGGGTAGGGACTATTATGTGTTTGTACAGGTCCTGACCTCTAGGTGCTAGTATACTACTACTACTAATTAATAATTAATTATTATGATTACTAATACAGATTTACTAGTTCAGGCAATTCTATTGCACTGACATATTCCCCCAGTAGTTTCTATTGGATACAATATTCTTTCTCACTTCCTGCCCTACATTGCTATGTAGTGTTGTTCTGTGTTGTTAAACTACCACCACTTTCCATCCCAATATATTTAAACCTGATAAAGAAACATATTTCTTTATAGAAAGCCTAATTAACTCATGGAACTCATTGCCACGAGATATCACTGAGGCCGAAAGCTTAGCAGGTTGCACAAACATTTAAGACATTAGTATGAATAATGAACACATCCCCAGCGAGGCGCTTTGGAAAATCTCCCTTGACACCCATCTGCATCATTGGGCACCTACATATCTTTAAAAATCTGTCCCTAAGTGACTGAGGTTAGGAAAAAAATTTCTCTATGGGCAGCTTATTCCGTGTTTGCCTAATAGAGGGTGGGATGCGGCACACCCCTATCCCAATCAGGAAACCACTAACGAGCTCCTCTGGGCTCAACCAGTACTAAATAGGTGCACCTGCAGAGCCTGTGCCATGTGTAGGAAATGAGCTTAAAAGGGAGAGTCTGTCACTGGAAAGAGGGGTAACCAGAGGACGGTGGCTGGGCCTCAGAGGCAGCAATGCTTGCAACAGAGCTGCTAGGAGGAAGATGGCTTGCAAACCTCTGCCACACGCAAGGGCCCTCCAGACCAGGTACAAGCCCACTACAACAGGGAGGGGTTGGAGATAAGCCCTGACCTAGGGTCTAACTGTACTTAACCTTCATGGACAAGCCAGACCTCTATAGACTCATAGACTTTAAGGTCAGAATGGACCATCATGATCATCTAGTCTGGCCTCCTGCACATTGAAGGCCACAGAACTTCACCCACCCACTCCTGTAACAGACCCCTAACTTCTGGCTGAGTTACGAAGTCCTCAAATCATAGTTTAAAGACCTCAAGTTACAGAGAATCCACCATTTACATTAGTTTAAACCTGCAAGTAGCCTATGCCCCATGCTGGAGAAACTCTTTTGAATGACTCAGACAGCGAGCGCCCCTGTAATTGGAAAGACTTTTAAGAGGGAAGCGTCTCTGAAAAAGCCCTGGCCCTAAAAAGGCCCAGCCTATCACATGGGATATCTCACAACTTCTTCAGAAACATTTAGAAACAGGCTCTGAGAGAGGCAGGGTAGGGGCTAGCTGGAGTATTAGTCTGGTTTGGTATATCATGTCCTACTTCACTGATCAGACTAGGTCTGACCTTGTAGCATTTACACAGGTGAAACTCCCACTGAAGCCAGTGAGAATTTTGCCTATGTATGGCCCCAATCCTACAAATAGAACCACCCCTTAACCTCCGTGGAACTCTGGGGTTCTGTGCAAGTGCTTGGGTCCACCTGCATGGTGTGGTTTGCAGGATCAGGACCTAAGAATTGAAGAAGGACTGGGCACGATGCATGTGAATTATGACACGAGCCCTGCTTCTTGCCGAAGATGGGAGCGGACGACTTACCCCAATAAACTTCCTAAGAAATTCCCTGGAGGATTCAATGTCCGTACTGGACAGCTCAATGTAATCTCCCATCATGCCCTCTTCTGTCGCTGGCACCTCCCGATAGAAATGTTTGGCTCTGGCATAGAACTGCATCTCGCCATTGATCACTTCGCTCGTTAAAGCATAAAGTTTCACTGCAAACAGAAAGTATATTATTTATTTATAATGGGATACTCCATGGTCTGATTGGGTGTCTTATTGGATTGTGTGTGTGTGTGTGTGTGTGTGTGTGTGCACGCGTAAGATCTTTGAATGTGGGAATAAACCAAGAATTTGCAAAATTCTCTTCCTAATTAAAAAGGATGATTAATTCTGGACTGGCTCTGGCAAGGTGCTGAGATCCATCAACTCACATTAAAGTCAATGGGAACTGAGGCCGCTCAGCACCTTCCAAGGTCAGGCCCCTTGTGTAAATACATCCCTACCTTCCCAGATGGCTCCATGTTAACTCAAAATCGTAGATTTCAGACTTGAGAGCAAAGACGCATGCAAATTAGAGCCACAGAAGCTGTTTGCTACACAGCAAAACCGTGGGTTGCATTAACAGTTTTAGACTATGGGTATGTCTACACGGCAATCAAAAGGATGACTGCGCACATATGGACCTACCTGAGCTAGCTTTGATCTAGCTAGCTTGAATAACAATAGCATAGAAGTCCCAGCAGTATGAGCCAGCTGCTCAAGTACATACCCAGGTTGTACAACCCGTGCTGCTGCAGTTTCACTTCTATTGTTATTTGAGCTGCTTCGATCAAAGCTAGCTCTGGTATGGCTACACGTGCTGCAGTCACACCTCTGATTGCAGTGTACAGGTACCCCGAGATGAGGCTAATTGGTTTGTAGAGTCCAAGGCCCAGCACCTTGTGTAGTTGATTATAAGTGTGCAAAGTGTGTGCCAAGCAGGAGTAAAACGGTCCCACCAGTGTGACTGAGTGAAGAATTCTATGACTTTCTGTAATATTTTCTTCCTGCTTGGCACCAGTGGAGTTAATTGCAAGGTCCGGTCCTAAATGACTATATACGGTGCAAGGTGGTAGCGCATCAGTCCCTAAATCTTCATCTGCCACAGATCAAAAAGGAGGAGGGATATGTAATTGATGAGGGTGACACAATAGGTGCCAGAGTTTGGAGTTTCTATTTTCATTGTTTAGTTTTTAAATGTTTGGGCTCTATATTACTATCACATGGTCTGCTGGTGACCAGGAATAGTAGATTCGCAGCTGTCTAAGACATATGAATTCTCAACTTGATATTTGATACTTTTCCCTTTTTCTTTCATTAACTGAGATCTGTCCTAAATGTTCTGGGTTTTTCGTCCTTACCCTTTTTAAGTATTTGTAGGCACTTACAATCTAAGTAAAAGACAACCGATAGATACAGACAGACAGATAGGAAGTATAAGGAAACAATGAGACAACATTGGTCAGCATGCGAGACAGTGGTCTCTACCTAAGTGTTGTCAAGTTGTTGGTTTTTTGTAGGCATCAATGCAAAGGAGAGTTTTGAGGCGGGCTTTGAAAGCGGATAATGTAGCTTTTCCTTGCATGAAAAAGAGCTGTTCCCAAACATTCCTGTGAATGAAGACCCAATCACATGACTGCCTGTGAATAGCAAGTAACAAGGAGGTAGGGATGAAGCTAATGCTGGTGTGGATTTGCAACAAGTACTCGTGAGCAGTGCAGTATGTGGCCAGTCTTACCATAGGTCGTGCATCTCCAATACACGTGCAGCACTGGAAGTGAGCAAGTGCCAAATGTCCGTCTGTTTAGGTACCTTCAGCCACAATGTAAACACAGACCTCCCTGTAGACTAAATAAATAAAATGATAGGAAAGGAATGCAGTTTATGTAGCTTGCAACTCTTATGATTTTGTCTTCGGTGTACTGCACTTTTACATTTCTAAGGAGTCATTGACTGTAATTATTGCCTGGTCTCTGAACAGGCGAGTGAGACTGCACTGTGGAAGACCAGAGTAGGCCACAATTCATGAATGAGCATGGACTGTATTTACTGAAGGCAAGGAGCTCAGTGGGGAATAAGTGTGTGCTTGCCCATCCTGAGCACCAGAATGACATCCTGGAGGCAAATGAGGGAGGGGCAAAGGAAGTAAAATAGAGAATAATTACCACCAAAGACCACTAGGAGCAAAATAGTGCTATTGGATTACGTATACGCAGCATGCCAGGGATATCCTTTATCCAACAAAAGCAGCATTACCAGCCCCTCTTGTCATCACCTGCTTAAGCCGACTGCTGAGCGGATACTATTAAAGCTTTAATCCATTACACATTTATGTTATGCCTTAGAAATTTATACCACAGGTGAGTGCTGAGTCCAGCAAGGGTCAAACCCGGGTTTGACACACTACACTGGTTATTTTCCATACTCCAAAGAAACATTTCACTAAAGGAAGAAAAAACAAGGGAGCAGCAGCTGATCCCCTGCAAATCTTGACCATGGTGATTGTCAGACCCTGGGAAATAGAAGGATCCACTGGCTGTTATCCTTTCCTCCAGGGACTGTTGCCCTTCTACCCATGTATCCCCTTTCTCTGTATACTGCAGCCACTGTTGATGAGGCTAGTGGAACTGAGGCCCGGGATGCTGGCTTTACAAGATCTCACTTAAGAGAGTCCATTGATGATTTCTAGAACAATTTTATTGGGCTTGTCAAGAGATGGAGTTTCACATTCTCCTGATGGATGGAAAGGAGAGGAATGAACGTGCAGCTTGTGCTTCAGGGCTGGGGTTTGTGTGAAAGGGGCAGCACATATTACTGTTATTCAGAGCAGTAACACTCAAAGTGTGACCCCAATGAAAGGGATCACATGGGAGTGACATGCTGCTCAGGATCTTAGATCTTTGGAGTCTGGCCCTGAATTTCTCATGGACCCTTAGCTACACACCACCTTCTGGCTTCCCCTCTCCACTGGCACCACCTCCCAGAGGGGCGCAGTTCATGTTTTTGCCCACTCATCAAGCCAACCAGGAGTTGTGTCAGATACATTCACATCGTGACTCCCATTGCAGCTAAACATGAGAGAGACCAAATCTGGCAATGCCCACTGAGACCACAATAGAAGACGCAGACATAGATCTCAACATAAACTTCTCAGCCAAAGATGGCACTAAAAATTGTCCGTTTCAATGTGGAGGAGTTCTCTGCGAAGAAGACTGACATGCTATCTGGCATGAAAAGAGATGTTGTGTGCTTGCAGCTGACAGACGGCAAGGCAACAGCACCAAACACTCCTGGCATGCATATAGCTGTGAACATCAAAAGCAACATTTATGGTGGCACAATACTTTTACATGACAAAAGACTGGTGGAAAAACACTGCTGTGAAGCACCACGGTACAACAACACTTATCAGGGCAGCAATTTCTGTTTACAAACCACCACGTGAACAGTTTGCATGGCCAACTGACCTTCCACTGCTGTAAAATCATGTCTTGTCACAGGCGATTTCAACAGTCACAAAACCATCTGGGGATTCCCCAACAAAGGGGAAGAAGTTGAGAAGGGGGCAGCAACTAACAAGTTGACCTTGCTCTACGACTTCAAGGACAAATGTGCCTTCCAAAGCACTGGATGGAACAAGGGGTACTATCCCAATCTAGCTTTTGAGACCTCTGAAAATGCCGGCAACTTCAGAAGGGAGGTTATGGCAATAATAGACCAGCGCAAGTGACATTAGAGGCTGCAGTGCAACCCAGGAAAACAAAGCACCTGCCAAGATTCTACTTCAGAAAAGCTTCCTGGGAAGGCTTCACCTTTGAACTGAGCACTATGTTCACTGTGGCGAACTTGTCTCTCTGGTGTGAAAGAGTGCCCAAAAGTACATCCCTAGGGGATGTTGGACATTACGTACACCCGGGCTTTCAGAACAGGCAAGCCGACAATATAAGAGAGATTCAGAATTTTTTGACCTGGATCCATTCAGTGAAGAAACCAGTGAGCTTATGAGAGAGATTGGAAATGAGCAGCACAACCGCTGAAGGGAGCTGATTGAAACAATAGCAAAAAAAAGAATGGGCCAACCAAGCTGCACACCAACTCATCCCAACTGACAAACCAACCCACAAAGCAAAGTATAAAGCTAAACAAATCAAGCAGGAACTTTGCTAACTCCTCAGACAACAAAGTCCACAATGAGCAGCTCAACACAGAGGAGTTGACCACAGCCATGAAAACCCTGAAAAGTGGAAAGGCAGCTAGTCTCGATGGTATAGCTAATGAATCATTGCTACACTTTGGGACAAGAGCACAGAATGACTAGGGTGAAGAGAATTTATCTTCTATGGGACACTTCAGATGGTTGCACATTTTGTTTGTCTTTTTAGCAGCTCTATAGAAATAGTGCAAAACACAACTGCTTCCACTCTATAAGAGACCTATAAATGCCTCGATCTCTAACAGAATTCCCACTGGTGTCAAAGGCAGGTGCACATGTTCAGTGAAGGTGATCTGTTGCCTGTGAATGTGGAGGAAACCCTCAAGAACGAATGCCCTGCCGATAAGATAAACAAGATGTCACCTAAAAGGCTCTTTCCCTCGCTAACTGATGTGATTCTAACATTCAGTGTAGCTTGCAGTATGCAGCTGACAAAGTGACCATCTTAAAATAATACAGCCCTAAGTCAAAACCAGGCTTCTTTTTGATTGTCATCAGGACAATTGTGGCTTTTGGGAATTGAAGTAGGACATCCTAAAACTTACATATTTGGGGCCAGACATTTCAGTAGAGCTCAGATCCTATTTCAGCACTATTTCCTAAAAAAGTGGCTCAGCACTTGGCATTCAGCAGCTCCTGTTGAAAATCTGGCCATAAATTAACCCTTCCTTCCAGAAGTACTTTGAAACCAAATAAATAATTGGATTGGGTGAATTGTGGGAGAGCATTGTTTCGCAAGCACCTTTCCACCCTGCAAAGCAAGACTTGGATCAAAGATATGGACATCTGGAAAGATAACAAATATGGACATTTGACAGCCAGAAAACAAAGCATGTCTGCTCCAGTTTCTCTCTCTCTCTCTCTCTCTCTCTCTCTCTCTCTTTCACACTCACACACAATGCAGCTTTTCATCCTTAAACTCCCAACACATTTTTTATTTTAACTGTGACTGGGGAAAAAATAGCATTAACCGCATCTGCAAGGAAAGTAGATCTCATCTGCCAATTCACCTATTTCTGTGATGCTTACCATTGTGGCACCAAGATACAATAAACTGTGATGCCAGATCAGTGGTAGCTGAAGGATAGAACAGACTGGCTTGTATAGCACCTTATCATCTGTGCTAGGGTTTCGCAGAGCTATTTATCATTATTATCAATTTATTTGTATTCTGGCAGCTCGCACAATGCATTAGGCACTGTCCACAGACAGACACACACAGATAACTCACCGAGGGGAAGCCGCTCCAGCAGGTAGAGGTAACTCTGAAAGAAATCTGTTCGTATGGCCTTGTGCAGGATAAAAGACATGCTGTGTCGACAGAGCTCCTCGTCCGTCTTGCGCCAGCGTGACTTAAAAGCTAAATGGACTCCCTTACCATCCATGGTGATGATGGTTTATGGGATGGGGAGAGGGAATTGCTTGGATTGTGCTCTGAGTGGGACCTGTGCTTTCCAAGAGGCTGAGAGTGTGATTTAAACCGGGGCAGTCCTCTGTCATTCTATATTGGAGGGAGGGGGAGTGTCTGGGAATGGAGCGAGGAGAAGTGCTGGCTCTTAGCACTTGCTCAGAATAATCTCTCCAGTGTCACACTCCTAAACTAGCAGCTGCTGGAAAGTGCTAAAAACCCAAACGGGATATTGCTTAGCCAGGGTAAAAGTATATGTGCTCCCAGAGGGATCGCTCTAATTTGATTAGTTTTTAAAATCTCTTTAGCTTCTACTTCAAAGGACCATGGCTGTTGTGCAGTGGCTCCCTCTCCCTCTTTGGCATATCGGAGGGTAATTTTTGTTTTTCAGGCGCCGGGTCACCTCCAAGCCACGTTTGCTATTCATTCCCCTGAGAAGCCAGGTCTTCCTGGCAAGGCACAAAGTGGGTAGAGTGCAGCTGCCTCTGGAGAGGCAGTATGGTCTAGTGGACTGCGTCGTGGGCTGGCATTAAAGAAATATGGGTTCTAATCCCAGTTCTACAACTATGTGACCTTGGGCCAGTCACTTTCTGTGCCTCCGTTTTCCATCTTGTCTATTTAGACTGCAAGCTCTTCAGGGCAAGGGCTTTCTCTAACTATGTGTATGTACAGCACCTTGTACAATGGGGCCCTGATCTGAGTTGGAGCCTCTAGGCTCCACTATAATATAATTAATACATCTTCTCAGCTACACTAGGGTAAATCAGGAGTAGTTAAACTGGTGTAAAATCAGTGCAAGTAAGAAGAGAATCAGGCCCTTGCTACAGTGCCCAAGTTAATTAAAAAATAAATGAATGGCGTTAACACCAAGTGAAGGGTGAGAATTTTAAATACACAAAAATGAAGGCAGTTGTCCAGCCAGTTTCCTTTAGGAGCCCGTGATGCTGCAGGGCCCACATGATTTCTGCCCCTTTGCACACCTGCATTACAGGCCTTGTTCTGCCCCTTTGACATCAAAGGAAAGTTTTGTCACTGAGTTCAGGATTAAGCCCAGCAACTGGGGTTTCCATTTCATGACCATTATATGCACGCGACTAACTCAAATTAATTATTATCAAGAAAATTAATCATGATTAATCACACTGTTAAACAATAGAATACCAATTGAAATTTATTAAATATTTTTGGATGTTTTTCTACATTTTCAAATATATCAATTTCTATTACAACACAGAATACAAAGTGTACAGTACTCACTTTATATTATTTTTTGTTACAAATATTTGCACTGTAAAAATGATAAAAGAAATTGTATTTTTCAGTTCACCTCATACAAGTACAGTAGTGCAATCTCTTTATCATGAAAGTGCAACTTACAAATGTAGGTTTTTTTGTTACATAACTGCATTAAAAAACAAAACAATGTAAAACTTTAGAGCCTACAAGTTCACTCAGTCCTACTTCTTCTTCAGCTGATTCCTAAGAGAAACAAGTTTGTTTACATTTAGGAGAGTTAATGGTGCCCACTTCTTAATTACAATGTCACCTGAAAGTGAGAACAGGCGTTTGCATGGCACTGTTGTAGCTGGCATCGCAAGATATTTATGTGCCAGATGTGCTAAAGATTCTTATGTCTCTTCATGTTTCAGCCATTGTTCCAGAGGAGATGCTTCCATGCTGATGATGCTCGTTAAAAAAATAACGCATTAATTGAATTTGTGACTGAACTACTTGGGGGAGAATTGTGTCTTCTGCTCGGTTTTATCTGCATTCTGCCATATATTCCATGTTATAGCAGTCTCGGATGATGACCCAGCACGTGTTCGTTTTAAGAACACTTTCACTACAAATTTGACATAATGCAAAGAAAGTACCAATGTGAAATTTCTAAAGATAGCCACAGCATTCGACCCAAGGTTTAAGAACCTGAAGTGTCTTCCAAAATCTGATGAGGGACAAGGTATGGAGCATGCTTTCAGATGTCTTCAAAGAGCAACACTCCAATGCGGAAACTACAGAACCCAAATCATCAAAAAAGAAAATCAACCTTCTGCTGGTGGCCTCTTATTCAGATGATGAAAATGAACATGCGTCGGTCCGCACTGCTTTGGATCCTTATTGAGCAGAACACGTCATCAGCATGGATGCATGTCCTCTGGAATGGTGGTTGAAGCATCAAGGGACATATGAATCTTTAGCGCATCTGGCACGTAAATATCTTGCGATGCAAGACATTGTTTTATTTTTCAATGCAGTTTTTTTTTTACATAAGTCTATATTTTTAAGTTCAACTTTCATGATAGAGATTGCTCTACAGTACTTATATTAGGGGAATTGAAAAATACTATTTCTTTTGGTTTTTTTACAGTGCAAATATTTGTAATCAAAAATAAATATAAAGTGAGCACGGTACACTTTGTATTCTGTGTTGTAATTGAAATCAATATATTTGAAAATGTAGAAAACACCCACAAATATTTAAATAAATGGTATTCTATTATGGTTTAACAGCACAATTAATCGCACAATTAATTTTTTTAATCGCTTGACAGCCCTAGCAGTAAGTAAAATAGACGTGTCTGTGTGTGCGTGTGCACACACGCACAGAGCCGGGATGGGTTTTCCATCAAAATCTGTCACACCACAAACCAGTAAAGGTACTTAAGAACATAGCATAAGAACGGCCATACTTGGTCATACCAAAGGTCCATCTAGCCCACTATCCTGTCTTCCGACAGTGGCCAATACCAGGTGCCCCAGAGGGAATGAGCAGAACAGGGAATCATCAAGTGATCCATCCCCTGTTGCCCCTTTCCTGCTTCTGGCAAACAGAGGCTAGGGACACCATCCCTGCCCATCGTGGCTAATAGCCATTGAGGGACCGATCCTCCATGAATTCATCTAGTTCTTTTTTTAACCCTGTTATAGTCTTGGCCTTCACAACATCCTCTGGCATACAGTTCCACAGGTTGACTCTGCGTTGTGTGAAGAAATACTTCCTTTTCTTGTTTTATAGCTGCCTGTTAATTTCATTTGGTGACCCCTAGTTCTTGTGTTATGAGAAGGAGTAAATAACACTTCCTTATTTACTTTCTCCACACCAGTTATGATTTTATAGACCTCAGTCATATCCCCTCTTAGTTGTCTCTTTTCCAAGCTGAAGAGTCCCCGTCTTATTAACTTCTCCTCATATGGAAGCCGTTCCATACCCCTAATAATTTTTGTTGTCCTTTTCTGAATCTTTTCCAATTCCAATATATCTTTTTTGAGATGGGGCAACCACATCTGTATGCAGTATTCAAGATGTGGGCGTACCATGGATTTATATAGAGGTAGTATGATATTTTCTGTCTTATTATCTATCTCTTTCTTAATGATTCCCAACTTTCTGTTTGCTTTTTTGACTGCCACTGCACATTGAGTGGATGTTTTCAGAGAACTATCCACAATGACTCCAAGATCTCTTTCTTGAGTGGTAACAGCTAATTTAGACCCCATCATTTTATTTGTATAGTTGGGATTATGTTTTCCAATGTGCATTACTTTGCATTTATCAACACTGAATTTCATCTGCCATTTTGTTGCCCACTCACCAAGTTTTGAGAGATCCTTTTGTAGCTCTTCACAGTCTGCCTGGGACTTAACTATCTTGAGTAGTTTTGTATCATCTGCAAATTTTGCCACCTCACTGTTTACCCCTTTTTCCATATCATTGATGGACTGTTGGTTGGTTGAGGGAAGGAAAGAAGTGGGCATTGGAGCAACAAGGCCCTGATATGTAGTTGATAGGTCAGGGGGCTGGCAATCAAGAGAGCTGAGTTCTATTGTTGGCTCTGCAACTGTCTTGAAGTGTGATCTTCGGCAAGTTACTTCACAGCTCTGTGTCTCACTTTGTCTGTAAAAGTGGGATACTACCACCTACCGCCCAGGGATGCAATGCAACTCATGTAATGGTTGCAAAGTGCTTTGAAATCCTCAGAGGAAAGAGGCATAGTCAGAGGTCAGTGTTTAACGGGATGGGCCAAATTTAGACCTGGTGTAAGCAGATGCTGCTTCACTGCTTTCAATGAAGTTGCATTTGCTTACATTAAGGACCAGTCTACCCTGACGGGTATAACTGGGATAATTACCCCAGCCCAGCCCAGAGACCTTGCTGCCCATCTGAGAGTATTCTTATGGGCTTCTGATATGTAGGCAGCTGCTGAAATAACCCAGCTCACATCCAGTTCCCTGTTTACATGGGAATTGCACTTGTGTCACTTCAGGGAGAATGGGACCCTCTGTAACGTAGCCCCAAACGTCTCAGACCAGGATCATCCCTAGTGTAACTCCCTGGACTCCATCCCAGGGATGAAAGACTCTTCATGGATTTTTTTGTCATTTTTGGCCCCGCATTGGGTGGTGTCCCGGTGACAGCAGTTCTACTGCCTTGGAGGGACATTGGGTAAGGTCATTGTGCAGCTGATAAAAGAAGCTACTTAATAGCTCAGAGCTCATCTGTTCTGAACTGACACATCTCTTTACGCGTCTCTGGATTGGAAAAGTCCATTTGTGCAGCAAGGTGACCTCTCCATTAAATATAACGGTACTTCCAGGTTCCTGCCAGGCTTAGTCTAGGCTTGGAATGGCATCGGGGCAGAATGCTGTGTGTTTCCCAGGGGAATACTGACCCTGTGGGAACCTTAAGTATCCTGGACAGTTTAGTCTATAAAATCTGTTATGACATTAAATTCATAGGCCCACAACACGCATTGTTCTCCCCACTTCCTCATGGAAGTGAGATCCAGCCACCTCTGAGGAGTTGTTCCTACACTCTCCTCTGGGCTCCATGGAAGCTTCTTCATAGGGTCCAAAGTCTGTGACTTCTAGGAAGCTACACTGGTTTACACTAGCTGAGGATCTGAACGGTACCATCATGCAAACTCACAAGGGCGCAGAGTTAAGGTTGTGAGGGTATTTCCTACCTTTTGGGTCCTT